GAGTTCAGAGCACAAAGTTTCAGATGACATGTTTTGTTTATAACGGACCTTGTCAAGTTTTCCTGGAATACTGGCTTTAAACTTGCATCAAGGTTCGGAAGAAAATACTTTGTTAATAATTAACTTCGGGAAAGTGGACTTATGCCTGATTATCTCTGTGGATGCGATGCCATTTTTGGTTCAGCTCCTCTTTAAAAATCGCCCTAAAGAATTCAAAGTATTTAGGTATATGGATTACACCAACAATGATCTCTATAAGGCTAACTATCAACCCCTGTTATCTGATCTTAAGCAAGACCTTAGGCGCTGGACAGCGGCTCTCTTGCTTAGGGGTTTGGATCAATACAGAATTAAGATGAATTCTGCTCCCTAAATTTATTTATTTTGTCAATATGCTTCCTAATGTTTTTTTCCAATTTGAATGATCAATATTATCGTATACATGGCATAAAAAAACACCCAGGATCAATAAAAACATATTGCAGAGGAGAGGTATGGCACTTCCAAATTTTATGTACTACCACTGGGCTGCCACTTAAGAGAACTGTTGTATTGGATGGGAATTGATGTCACTGTCCACATAGTCTTGAATGGGTGGTGCTGGAGAGGCATCCATTGGGTTACTTCCCCAGTAAACTTAACTACGTATGTTCCAAATTACAGTTTAATCAGCCTATGTCAACCTTCACCTCTAATCCATTTTTATCCATTCAGTCAAAAACTGGATGATCAGTGATGGACGAGGCTTTTCATATCTGGTCAAGAAATGGAATTGGTGCCTATATGATCTTCTATATATGAACAGGTTTTCGCTCTTTTTTACAGTTAGCAACAGAAATTGAATCTTCATATGTCCATTTCTAACGCTATTTACAACTAAGAGGTTTTATGGCTCTTAACTCTGCCTGCTTCCCATTGTGCCCTCCTGTAACTCTGCTGAGACACAATATTTTAAATGTGAAGTTGACTCAAAACAAATTAATAAAGCGCAATTACACATTACTTAACACACATAATGTGAACAATCTGGATTACTTCCGAAACAAAGTGGAAACGGACCTAGATGAAACAATTTCAGAAACAATCTTGGCAAATAATTATACAGAGAATTTACTCCTCCTCGATATGCCTTTAGGCACACTGCGGTTCAGTTTAAAATAGCGCATCGTCTTCACTGGACCAAAGACACACCAAGTCTTAAGATTAGACGGATATTGAACTACATCGTGATCAGAACAAAGCATAAATCGCGCCAAGTGAACTGACTACACATGTTTTGATCAATGTCACGGGA